AACCCATTCTTATTAATGTGTAATACTTTCCTCTGAGTCTGATTTGTCATCCATTTTTAGAATCATTACATATTTGAAAATAATACTAATTAGTTCAAAGTGGTCGCTTATAAATTTGAACAGAAAATCAAACGTCTTAATCATGTTATTCAAATTCTTACATTTTTTGTCTACTTAATATGACAATTTTTGGAAAGACATGTACTAATACTACCCACTGTGGATATGGTTTTGTTAAATTTTCTTTCTACTTACAACAGTTTGGGAATGATATGTTTTTGTGGTATGTTGTTTTATGTAGAAAAGATCCTGATTGCTAGACTTTCTAATGGATAATCTTATGTGTCAGTATAAAATGCCCTGTCTTTTTACCCCAGGTAGCAAGCACATCATCTCAGAGACTGATATGGCAATCCGTGCTTTCATTATGTTAGCTCTGCCTACTAGAACTCAACTTGTTCCTTCAGTTCTCTGTGTTAGGATTTGTCTCCTAAAAAGGACACAACTGTGTTTGCACTTAAATCTGGGCTGTGAGTACATGACTTTTATTCAGAGAAATTACCCCCTTTATGGTTATTATGACAACAATGTTTAGCCTAATGACTGACATCATTTTAATTTTCCTGTTTATGATACTTTTTAATTGTACTATAAGCCCTCCCTTTTGTTTCTATGCCTAAATCAGGTTTTGNTGATACTTTTTAATTGTACTATAAGCCCTCCCTTTTGTTTCTATGCCTAAATCAGGTTTTGTTTTTTCCCCTCATTTTGTAGCTACTTATAATATAGCATTTCACAACTCGTGAAACACTATGCATATTTGTCAAACTACTAAGCTCACCAATTCTTGGTCCCTCTTATTATGCAAGTATAGAAAACTACTCTAATGTTTCTCTCTTTTTTTTTTTAATGCCAGTCTGACCAAATATACTCCATCTGGGGTAATAACAATAAATCACTTTAAAATAAGACCACTTTGGAGTTTAATAAACCCATGTATTAACTATTATGAGCCAGGAAAAGGCAGGACAAGTAACTTCATATTTAATTAGTAAGAAGTTAGTTCCATTTATCTTTCAACATTTCTGCATCCTGCAAAAGACAAAGCTCTTACCGTTTCTTTTGGAATCTGCATCTGGCTTGGCTCTGCATTCTAGAAGAATTGAAGAAAAACATAAATACGGACTGACCAAAGCCATCTTCAACACATAGGGACACAACGCTTTATTTTAAAGGAAATTTTGTTGGGTCTTAAAATCAACAAAATATATAAAGGGTGATTATGCTATGGTTGATGTATTACTCTGTCTTCCAAACTTTCACTGATGTGTCTATTAATGTGCATATTTTAAGAAATTTTTGTATATGTAAATTTTTACTTGCTCGTTTGCATTAATTTATTATTTGAAGGAAAACAAATCTCACCAAACTGCTTTCCTAATCATGGCACTATTTCTAATTTTGTTTTTTAATTTTCCCAATCAAATCTAAATTTTAAGGTATAGGATCATTTGATAGCTAGGCAGGATAATAACAGTCTGAACCACAATCTGAGCCACTAGCTTTATACTTTAAAATATCACACAAGAGATAAATGTAATTTTTTCCCATGTAATATAGACTTGTTTTAATTACATAGGTAACTTATAAGTTTGATTTATAAAAAAGGCCCATATTGACAAAAGTATTTATGTTTAGACACACAGAATTTAAACAGACAACCCAAACAGGAAAAGAGTTATGTTAATTTGACTCAAAGATAATTAAAGAGTTATGCTAAATGGATTCAAAGATAATTTTTAAATGCCCTCCTTTAAGTTTTCAGGATTTTATTCTTTAAATCTTGAAAAGCAGCTGCAATGTGCTTAATAGACTGACCACCTATTGGCTCACTCCTCAATGAAAAGCTCACAAGCAATAAATTAAATAACCAAGAAAAAAAAGTAGGCAGCAGAAGGGAAAAACAGAAGCCTGGAAGATCAAAATTGGACAAGAAGAACCTGCATAACCTTAAGCTGGCTATATGTTGGCACTAACTCTGGAAAAGACTGCTGAAGAGCAGTGTTTAAGCTTTGGCAATTTAATAATACTAACGATCATGGCTTGGATACACTGAGGAAAAATTAAGCCTTCATCAAATTACGTCTAGAGTTTAGTTGTTTTTTTTTTTTTTAAGTGCTCATTTACAATTTAATAGAGACATCTCCAGATTTAGGATCAGGTGG